CCTTACATTGTAATCCTATACTCAGAAGTAGGGCCCGTAGTGTTCCATGGGGCTTTCTCCCAGGAAAGTGGGCATAATTTCGTGAAGAAATTAAAAATAGGATAGTCCCATCTGGAGCATCCGTGGGGGTTCACTGTATACCACAATAGCAAAAAAAAAGAAGGAAAAATGTGCTGTCTTTCTGGCCCTGCTCACATTTTTTTGCAATCTAAAAGCCCTGACCAGAGGTCATTTTATAAACTATTCTTCCTTCCTAAAAGCAAGAAGTGAGATCTCATTCCCTCTCACTGTTTCCTAAGAAATTTCTTCAAGAGAGCTGAAATTGGGGGAAGCACATGGGCTGAACATTAGAAACAGTTATAGGATATCCAAACCAGCATAATGCTAGCTCTCTACAAAGGAATCAGAGAACCCATGCTAACTGCTTATAAGAAATGAAAGCAAAATTCTGCTATTAAAACACCAAAGGGAGATGTTCTTTCTTTTATACAACAAAGGCATATGAAGGCAGGGAATTGGCCTCCTGAGGAGCTATTGTTTCTGCCTTGAGGTAGCCCAGAAGAATATCCCTGTGGACTTTTGAGGTTAAGTTTCAAGATTTCTTTTGTTAGATTAATGTGTCTTCCAAAAAGTCGTGTTAGCTCAAAAGAGTCTGTGAAAATGTGATCGGCATACGAGGAGGGTTCACACATGAGAGAGCTCTTTGTGTCAATAACAAAAACAGACATAGGCAGTTTTGATTTCTGCAAGCAGCAAAGAAAGAATAGGATACTCAGAAGACTGTCAGATTTTAGTCATGGTGTAGTTGAGGGGGGAAAACACCAACTACTTGCTTTTTATCTTTTTGGTGATTCAACCCCTGTTTATCTTTTTAAGGAATCACACAGTGTTCTCCTCATTGATGTTTTTATGCTTTTGATTTATGTGTTCTATGTGTAGTTTATCTAGCAGTGGGCTCTTGTCTTTTGTAATTTCTCTCTCTCCACACAGTCCTGTGAGGAGGGAGATTGGTGTTGAGTGATACACAAGATATTATCTTTCTCGCACATGCCCAGAGATGTAACGTCACCTGGAGACTGAAATTTGAAATACCCAAGTCCATCTTTGCCAAAGCATGACTTATTCCTAAACCCAATATATGAGTGGTGTGCATCGTGTTCTCACATATATCTTGACTGAAGAAGCAAACGGAAGTCTAGTTTAGAAAAACAGCTTCATGTATGTGTACGTTAGAGATGGGGCATCTGTGGCTGGAGCTGATAGGAATTTTAGTCCAGCAATGTCCATAGGGCCACAGTTTCCACACCCTGACATACCATGTCTATTCGAATCTAATGCTCACCAATTTTTGGCCAAATTACATTGCAAAAATTAAGGTGCACATTAGAGTCGATGGAAGATTTACATTTGCCAGCTAATCCTTTTTTTGGTTTCAAGGTTCTGAAAAATTGAAGTGCGCATTAGATTCGATGGCACATTAGACGCACGTAAATACGGTACATGGTGTGCTTACCACGTGCTCAAATGGATTTCTTAATGGTTTGTGCTTTGTAAGATGATTTATGGTAGACAGCAGCCATTCTCTTCTTAAAGTACAGTGGTACCTCTGGTTACGTACTTAATCCGTTCCGGAGGTCCGTTCTTAACCTGAAACTGTTCTTAACCTGAAGCACCACTTTAGCTAATGGGGCCTGCTGCTGCGCCACCGGAGCACGATTTCTGTTCTTATCCTGAAGCAAAGTTCTTAACCCAAGGTAATATTTCTGGGTTAGCGGAGTCTGTAACCTGAAGCAGATGTAACCTGAAGTGTATGCAACCTGAGGTACCACTGTAATTGGATCAGTTTGCATTAAGAAACACAAGGGAAAACATATCGTTGGAACGAGGCAACTGCCAGGAGGTAGCGTGTGACATTGAGAAGTTGGAGGACAGACCTGTGTGTGCATTTGGCCTCTTCCTGTTAACCCTTAAGCCAGGGGGCGGCAAGGTTTCGGGGGCAGCTCAGGAGCTGGTTAAACTTTGGTTACCAGATTTTTTTCAATGAATCTGGGGACACTTTTCAACTTCAATGGATTTTGTATGGGGACTGATGTGTAAATCCGGGGACTGATTTGGTCACCTTAGGTTAAACAACCCTCATGGGCCGCTTGTGGCCCATGGGCCTTAGGTTGCCAACCCTGCCTTAAGCTATCCTGCAGTCATTGGATGTGGTAGAGGATGCTGTCCTGCCTCTAGTGTTGAAGTCAAGATTCATTTTTCAAGTCTGGCTGGCCTCTGTACCTGGAATACGAGAAGGCCACCACCTTGACTTTGCCTTGGGCAACAAAATATCTTGGACTAGCCTTGCATATAAAGAGGATTGTTTATATTGCGTACATCCTCTTACACACCATGCTGAAACAAACCCGTGGTGAAATTTGGTTTCCTTGCAATCAAAGTTTTGGATCTTCAAGTTGCAGACTTAAAAGGAGTAAACGGGATCTGCTGCCTGGAGAAGGCTGGAGTCATGGATTTCTGCGCCCTGCAGTGCTTTCTGTCTCGCTCCGAGGCATATGCTCCTCATTCTCTGATTGTCCTGGTCCCACCCAGAACAGCTCACACTACCTCTTCCTTCCAACCCTCTACCATTGCCAAAATACTCTAAATAAACCTAAATATTGGCAACCATGGCAGACTGTGCATATCATTTTTATGAGCATGAGACTTTAACCTTTCCTGGCAGAAAAACATGGATTTATTGGGTGGCGGTTAGTGCAATCTACTCTAATGTGCTGACCTGCTCCAACAGTTGGTAGTGGTAGTAGTAAGAATAAGAATTTATTATTTATACCTCACCCATCTGGCTGGGTTTCCCCAGCCACTCTGGGCAGCTTCCAACAAAGATTAAAAATACATTAAAACATCAGTCATTAAAAACTTCCCTAAATAATCATACTTTACCTAAATAATACTTCCAGGGGGTTGGGAAAGAGACTTACCATTGTTGCTCTCCCCGACATTGGCCTTTTGCTGCTGTCAGATGGGGGAGCCAGCTGAATGCCCTCTAGCCCTCCCCTCCAGACTGTATTTTAAGAGTGCAGCAAGATGAAAACATTTTTGTCGGCTTTTCGTTTTGCTTTGAATTTATGTACTTTATAACAAATTGCTGAAACTTTTATTGCAAAGAACGCAGGGTCCGGAGGATGTGGGGAAGTCCACCTGGAATATTGAAAAAACTATTGAAAGTTGGACAGAAATAACCTTTTTTTGTTTTTTATTACTTCTTTTTGTATTTGTTTCTTGCACTTTCTTATTGTTATCTTGTGTTTATGAACCTAAGAAAAGAAACTCAATAAAAAATATTTTTAAAAAAATGAATTTATGTACTTTAGCCTAGATGGTTTCTTTTTCGTGATGTTGAATTTATTGTTTGCTAGATTGTTTATTTTTTGTTATTTTGAATTTAGTGAGATTTTCAGTATTTTGTGTATTTATATTTCCTGTGTTCTCTATTTTGATGTTTTGAGGGTTTGCTGTAAGCTGCTTTGAGCACAACTCATTGTGGGAAAGTGGCATATGCATATAATCAATCAATCACATGTTGTTGGGCTATATTCCTCGACCGCTGACCATGCTGCCTTAGATGCATGAGAGTTGTACTTCAAAACATCTGGAAGTTACCAGGTTGCGGAAGACTGCTTTAGTGTATACTGAGCCCTACCATAATTTATATAGAAAGGATACTGGACATAAAGCTATCTTTGGAGCATTGAAAAACAATGTGAATCCATGGAAATGCATTCTGTGCTCTCACCTTACTGCATTGCAAGCAGCGGGGAGCCAGTTTCCAGTGTGTACATGTGTCTTCACATTGAGTAAGTCACTAGAGAAAGAGCTTGGAAAGCTCTCTGTGTTCGTTTACTGTTCTGGTGCATATGCTGTAAGGGCAGATTGTTTGGATTAAGAAATAATTTAGTGTTCCTGACTTAGATACCTCTTAGAAGTTCTGGTGGTGATTTATTGGCATTAAACTGCAGCACCCCTAGAAAGAAACCTTAGCAGAAACAGATTCATTACAGACTTCTCAGACCCTTCCAGATGGAAGTTTCAAGTGTGGTCAGACGTTGAGCTTTAAAGAATGATGAATCGCTGGAGGTCAACAAGTAGAGGCAACATCAGCTGCCTCCTCCACATGCTCACTTTTAGAAGGATGCACACATGAAAATCCCTATTTCAGGTGAATCGGTAAGCAGTACTTGTGCTTGTACACCGGTCCTGCTCCCCCATCCATGCATTCACTTTGACACAGATGAATACATGAGCAGTCCTAGCACCAGTTGATCAACCAAAGATGTCTTAGCCCAGCTTTCACCAAACTGATGTCCTCCAGATGTTTCAAACTGCATCTCCCATTAGCTGTTGCCAGCACAGCTGCTCTGGCTAGCTGTTCTTGTCTGCTGAGCTCTCAGTGTGCGGGGAAAAATAGATGTTAAAAATTGTGCCTTGGGTGGGATGAGAAAGCAGATATAGACTCGCCTATAGGCAAAGGATGGAATATTCAAAATAAACACTATTTTCAACCAGAGAAGACTTCTGTATGAATCTGCTGCTTGGGAATTAATAATGTTGTATTGAAATGTGCTGCAGTTTTGAAACAATTTGACATGCTCGTTTAAGCTACAAAGAAGTGCTTTCAGAGGACCATACTTAGGTGAGGAATATGTTGAAGACAAGAATATATAATTTTAGATGGGAAGGGGGAAATGAACCTGGATTGCAGGCTGGTGTGTGCTAGGAGTGAGGAGGACCAATCAACTTTTAAAAGTGCCTTTGAGAAGTTTAGGAGTGAAGAACAAAAACAGCAACGAAGGCAACAAAAATACTTCCTCATTTTTCTTTCTCTGGCCTTGGAGGTTTCATGAAACGTGACTTATCTATAAATAAGGGGAATTTATAAATAAAAAAAAGTGATTCTCGCGCCAAGCTTGTAAACTGATCTCCGTGTTGCTTTCCGTTGACAGATAACAAATATGCTCCTGCAGTCACTCTCAATGGTTTCATCTTTATTCTTGGAGGAGCTTATGCACGAGCGACCACCATCTATGACCCAGAAAAAGGCAATATCAAAGCAGGCCCCAACATGAACCACTCCAGGCAGTTCTGCAGGTGAGACCAAACACACACACACACACACACACACACACACAAACAATTGAATTACCAGCACCTCAATATGTTTTTTTTCTTCTGGAGGAAATTATTACGTTAAGGTGGGAATGGGAGTGCATGTGTGTTTAAGACTTTTAGTGTTCTCTGGGCTACACTAATAGAAATATTACCTGGCTATGATCACTCTAAATCCTTTCCCTTGGTATCTCAACATCAATATCTCTCTGGTGTGAGACTGACAGGCCCTGTTATATACAGTGGTGCCTTGGTTTATGAACTTAATCCGTTCCGGAACTCCGTTCTTAAACCAAAGTGTTCTTAAACCAAGGCGTGCTTTCCCATAGCAGCGGGGGACTCAATTTACAAATGGAACACACTCAACAGGAAGCGAAACATGTTCTTATTCCAAGGCAAAGTTCACAAACCAAAACACCTACTTCTTTAGTTTGCAGCGTTCTTAATCCAAGTTGTTCATAAACTAAGCTCTTCTGAAACCAAGGTACCACTGTACTGTATACTTAAGAACTGGAATGGTCTGGAGGCCAGACTTGGGTGTGCATGTGTTTTGTCCAAATCTGAAACACGGCTAGTGATACCCACGTTATAGGGGTTAGCATAAGATGGACACACGTCGACCAAGTGTTGCTTCTTATAAAAATCACTCTATAGTGGTTAACCAAAATGACTGCAGGTGAACCACTATCTGGAAGCAGAGGAGGACTGTGAAGGCTGAAGGAAGCTTTGTGAGTTACATATAAGTCGCGAGCTTATCTTGCTTACCCATGTTATGCACCAAAATGCCCTGAAGGACATCTAGAATGTTTAGAAAATCAGGGGGGAACTGCTGCTTAAAGATTAATATGAGATGCATCAATTAAATTCAGATAAACAAAGTTCCAGTGATGTGCGTTCTGCAATATTTGTGACAGCAGGTTTGTGTTTGGGACCGAGGACAAAACACACTTTTTTCATGGAACCTGTAGAATCTCACATTAAATGTGAGCAAGGCAGAAGAAAGTGTTAACGTTTTGTCCCATGCTTAACACTTGTATCAAAGCTGTGAATAGAGCTTTAATGCAAGCACATCACTGACCTCATGGATTGCTGTTTATGTCACAGCATGTTAGAGAAAGATGAAATCTGGCATCCCTGTTGTACAATGGCAGGGGAAGAGCCAGTTTGTTCTCTGGACAGCTCAGAGCTGATTCCCATTTAGGATTAATTTCCCATCTGGCAGGCATAGGCAATCTCTGCTTTGTTACAAATTGCAATTATTATTATTTGCCTTTTGTTCCAACTGTATTAAACTTTTTCCCCTTTTAACCTATGCGTATGTAAGCCAATTAATTTAGTAGACGTTTCATTAATCTGGTAAAGTGAGCTTTAATCCACAAAATCCACAATACATGTGCGTTAAGTCTTTGGAATGGGGTTATAACATTTTTATACATCATAAACTGCATATGCATAAAATTAGACATGCTTATAACACTATTTAATTATTAATTTTTATAAATACTCAATATTAAAACCAGAAAACTTGATTATTTACACCAATAGAGCTTTCCCACAACATGATCACTTTGTACAAGAATAAATGGTCCAGTGCCAACACCTGTTATTCCCAATTCCATTTTTCATTATAATGTTCTCCATTTTTTAGTGTCCCTGATTTGATAGTTCTCAGACTTTTAAAAATTAAATATTTTAAGTTGGCTTGTAAGCATTTTTCCATGCGCTTAGAATAGAGAACCCTTGCAATGGTCAATATATACAAAATATGCCATTTATTTTTTTACAGTGCATCACCTTTGACAACATTATTTGGCACTTTTTGCCATACGGAAATGCTATAAGTATAGGAAATGGTGTGAAGCCTGTATATAGTGATTTCCATGTAGGTAGCTTTTTGCTGAGTAAAGTGTTTCAACCAGTATAGGGGAAACAACGGAAAATCTGAAGCAACCATCAGATGGAATGCTAAACCATGGTTTGTTTGTTTTGGCATCATGGTCCCATTCCATAGTAAGCCTCAGCCTCTCACACACCACAAAACCTTCACATATGAGGGAACAAAATGTAAAGTTTTCTGTGACAGCTGGAAGTTTCCTGGTTTGGCTAAATCCGGGAGTAACACTGGTTTGATACCTAGGCTAGTTAATTAACTGTGACTCATACAAACCACAGTTTCCCCTATTCAGCTGAAATGGGTGGTTGTGTTTTGTTCTGAATTCTGACTGGAAGCTTCAGATTTCCTCCCTCAAGTACAGGAGAGAGAAGAAGGGGAGCTGGGAGTGCACAAGCCTAATGTGTAGTGCATTCTCATAACACTAAGATGGCATTGGCCCTGAATGAGACCTGAGAGCAAGCACGGCATACAAAAGTTTTCTGAGTTGAGATCTAAGGAAAAAGTCTGGAACAGAGGCTAAAGTTTAATGCATCTTAACTTTTCGGAAGGCGCTCGTCTTACTTTTGCTGGTTTCAGCAGTCCTAATAGCAGCTGCAGCTCCTATCAGATTATAACAGATCCTCCAAGTATCCCTATTTCCCAGGAACAGTCCCGGATTTACAGAAGCCGTCCCGGTTTCTGATTTGATTCCAGAATGTCCTGCTTTTCCTTAGGACGTTCCTATTTTCATCAGAGAAAGATGGAAGGTATGGAGTTATGTGACCCCCCCGAACCAAGGAGATTAGTAACTTTAGACGATATGTGAAGGCAGCCCTGTATAAGGAAGTTTTTCAGTGTTTATTTTTATGTTTTTATGTATGTTGGAAGCCACACAGAGTGGCTGGGGCAACCCAGTGAGATGGGTGGGGTATAAATAATAAAAATATTACTATTATTATTGAATAGGATGTCCCTACTTTCATCAGAGAAATGTTGGAGGGTATGTAATAACCTTCCTTAATAGTTTTCAGAATCCTGAGGCAAGGGTACCAGTGGCAACCTGACTTTCTTTCATCTGTTCCAGTAACTTACTTAGATCTTTATCCCAATATTCATCATACCTGCAATACTTAGTCAATGAGTTAAGCAAAAGTCCTCTATTAGTAGCAGCAGCAATGGAGGTAGAATGGGCAATAAAGCTAGTATTTAACCATACATCACAAACAGAATTTATATATTTGACTCTCCTTTTTTATTTAAAGAGTGCCCTCTCTTGGTTGCCAAGAGAATCTTGTCCTGGAGCTAACATTACATTACATATTTTTTTAAAAAAAAATTACAGGCCAAATCCCAGCCAAAGCTACTCTGTTCCTGCTGCTTCTGTGCTAATTACAGATTTTCATTGTTCCTCTGTGTTAACAAGAGTGAAATTGAATGTAGGAGAACCCCACTGTGTCCAGGCAGTAGTTAATTATATTTTTTCTCTCAAGATTGTAAACCAGAGGCAAACAGTGCAGTACAACTGACATAACTTCCCTTGGTAATTCATTGCATTAATTATGTGGGATCTTTTTTTTATTTTTTAAACAATTTTTCTTTAACCACATTTAAATTACTTTCATGTAAAAGGCCTTTAATACTACAGTTCTTTGGCCAAGATCACTTGATAGACTGGGATCTGGCCACTAATGGCAGACTTTATCCAACATTTGATAAACATATTTCCCCCACACACACACACACACGCTGACAAAACTGCAGCAGTTTGAAACAATCCCATTTGTATGTTCAGAATGGAAGGAATAAACAAATTCTACCCCTCCAGTAAAAACATGTGCACAACAATACTTAAATGTCCATTGAAATGTTTGAAGCAGTTAGCATTGTTTACATTTTTGTTTTCCTTTCTCACATAGCAGTAACCTCTGCTCAACTTCGATAATGATGTAATGGACTTTCAACAGATATTAATATCAGGGATTTTTTAAAATGACAATGTTAAGCCAAAGTTATGTAGAATTAGAAGTGGACTTCCAAAATAGAAGCAGCATAACTGGACCCAAGGACTGAAGGCAGTACACTGTTTCCTCTTAAAACATGTGTTGGGGACCTTTGCTTCTTAAGATGCTATAATTATTATTATTATTATTATTATTATTATTATTATTATTATTACCCCAGCCACTCTGGGTGGTTCCCAACAGAATATTATTAATAATAAAGCGATAAAACATCAAACATTAAAAACTTCCCTAAGCAGGACTGCCTTCAGATGTCTTCTAAAAATCAGATAGTTGTTTATTTCCTTGACATCTGATGGGAGGGCATTCCACAGAGCGGGTGCCACTACTGAGAAGGCCCTGTGCCTGGTTCCCTGTAACTTCGCTTCTTGCAATAAGGGAACTGCCAGAAGGCTCTCAGAGCTGGACCTCAGCTGAACAATGGAGATGGAGACACTCCTTCAGGTATACTGGGCCGAGGCCGTTTAGGGCTTTAAAGGTCAGCACCAACACTTTGAATTGTGCTCGGAAACGTACTGGGAGCCAATGTAGGTCTTTCAGGACCGTTGTAATACGGTCTCGGCAGCCAGTCATGTTAGTTACTGAACTACAGCTCCCCTCTGCCCCAGCGAGCGTGGCCAAAGGCTTGGGATGGTGCCAGCCGTAGTTCAACATCTGGAGGGCCAAAGCACTATCTTAAAATCCCAAGGATGTTATTTTCCCAGGATGCATAGAAATGGGGAGCATCGATGCTCTGGCCTCAACTACATGGAGGCTGCAAAGGGTCGCCTCTTCCTACAGCAGGGGGCCAAGCGGCAATGTTATATGAACCTGAATTAAAACAGGGAGCTGAAACCCACTGATGTAGATCCCACTACCTAAATGCCAAGATTAAAAACCTTTGGCCAGTCACTGCCTCTCAGCCTAACCTGCTTCACAGGGTTGTTGCGGAGATAAAATGAGGAGGGCAAGAACCATGTGTGGCACCTTCAGCTACATGAAGAAAAAGTTCAGGTGTAAATGCAATAAAGGGGGGGGCGGAGAAGAATTTGTGGGTTCTTGGTAGGGATGCTGTATTTTGAAGAGCAAAAAAGAGGACACATTTGCTG